GGTGCGGGGCCTTCCCAGCGCTGCGGGGCCTTCCCAGCGCTGCGGGGCCTTCCCCACGGGAACGTGCCTCCCAGCTCCCGCTCTCCTGGTGCTCAGCCGGCCCCGGGAGCAGCTCTGCTGGCCCCAAGGGCAGCCGTGCTCACTCGTCACGCCGCGTCCCCGTCACCACAATCTGTTTGTGGAAACTACCGTGTCTCTGCAGGCCCCTTTATTTAGAAATGCCGTATGGTAAGCGAGCCGGGGATCCCAGAGTAAAGGGCAGCCGGCAGTTTCATGCTGCTGCAGGTACTTGGAAAGGCGGCTGGGCTCCAGCTTCCCCAGGTGCAGGCGCTCGGGAGCGCAGGCCCGGCGGGCTGAGGGGAGGCAGGAGCTCTGAGGGCTCCCTCGGGCCCTGCAGAACATGAAGTGCCTGCAAGGACCGGTGTTGCAAGGGTCCAGTAGGCATCTGGGAGCTTCTCTGACCTTAATCCGTGTCTGAGCACAGCTGCGCTGATGTTTTTGATCGTTTCCACTGAGCTGCTGTAGGGGGATAAGAACTAGGAGCTTTCTTTTGTGCTCTTAGGTAACCTACACACAATCAAGGGCATAAGAATATATTTATTTATTTATTTTTCTTTGGCTTGTAATGTGTCGATTAACCGCCTGCCTTGGTGCTTTGAGGTCTGCGGCAGTAGAGCAAGGATGACCAGGCATAAACTCTGCTGTTGCTGTTTCACTAGCCAGGTGCAGTGCAAGCCAGGGGGTGAGCTGCACGTTTACAGATTATTTTTGCAGTTCATCATGAAGTATTTTGGCAAGCTGTAGGGGCACACCTGTTAGCCCTTAAAAATGTAATGAAACCTTAGCCTCTTGAGGTAGCATGTTATTACCTTCGGAATGGCCTGTGGGTTAAGTAGATGAAACATCAGTGTGTGTGTAATATGAAGAGCATGCTGTGCTTGTATTTCTGTTCGAATTACTGTCCTGACTACTATTTTCCTATGTATTTGGTTAGGGCAGCACTTAAATGTAGAGTTAAAAATGACATGTTATGATATCCCCTTCAAAATGTATGCAGCTGTCTTTTTAATATATATCCAGAAGCATTCTGCACTGGGTCCCATAAGTAAATAGAAGGAAAAAAAAAGTCTGATAGCTGGGCAATGAGAAAATTGTATGGTGGGGAGGGATGAAAGAGATACCCGAAATTTTCTGCAGTCTCAGTTGTCCAATTCCAGAGTACAAAATCTCACCAAAGTAGTGCAACCATGAAGAAGTCAGTATTGCCAGTGGCTAATGACCCGAGACACACATTACTTTTCATGTCATAGTATACAAAATTAATTGTGGAATATGAGACATCTATGCTTTGTTTTGTTGTTGTGGTTTTTAAAAAAATATTAGATTAGCAGGAAAGTTTAATTATGATTATAGGACATATTCACTCATTTAATTATACTTGTAATATTTTAATTTATCTTGCCATGTTTCATAAGCATTGCTCTTTTTGAGGGCTATTACATGTGTGGCTTTGGACATACTTTTCTGCACAGTTACAAGAACAAGCCATGATCAAGTCTTTTTAAATCTTACAGTTTAGCATTCCCTGCCTCTCAGTTACAAGCTTGATGGTACAAGGTTTCTTTGTGCAACAAATAAACTTGATGCCAGGAGCAAAACACAGGGTAAAACAGCAGATCATGCAAATATAGTACTGTAGGTTTGGAGGAGTTTGTGTTCTCTTTTCGTTGGTTTGTTTTTTTAAAGAGA